CCAGGGCCACCGAATCCAGTATGCTATTGACAGCCAGTGCAGCACTTTTAGGGCAGGCTGGATGTGTTCCCGCACAGGAAGGCACAGCAACAGCCTCGCTGCTGCATTCTGCACCAGCTGCAGCTTTCGGATCTGGGACAAGGGCAGCCCCATGTGGAGAGCATTGCAGTAATCCAATCTCGAGGTGACCATTGCGTAGATCACTGTTGCCAGGTCATTGAGTTCAAGGAAGGGAACCAACTGTCTAATCTGCCGTAGATGGTAAAAGGCAGACTTTGCAGTGGCTGCTCCCTGGACCTCCATCGTTAAGGAGGCATCCAGGAGCACTCCCAAGCTCCTAACCTCCGGTGCTGGCACCAACGGCATCCCATCAAAGGTTGGGAGCAGGATCCCTAACCTTGGTCCACTCCAACTCAGGCACAAGACCTGAGCGTTTCGGGATGATGAAATACCGGGAGTAGAATCCCCTGTGATGTTGGGATGAGGAAACGCTCTCTACACTACGGCTCCTTTGACAAGGAGGGTTTGGATTTCCTCGTGAAGGAAACTGGAGAGAGGCTTTGCCACAAAATGAGGGACCTGCAGGGTTGAAAGAAACCTGACGGCATACCCCATGCGGACTATGGGGAGAACCCAGGCATCCGTGGTGATGGACGCCCAGGTTTGGGACAGAGTCTGGTGCCTGGAGGTGGGGTAACCGACGAAGAGCGGGAAAGACTGCTTTGATGGAGGTGTAGCCTTCTTGGAAGAAGGAGCTCTGGGCTTGTGGTGGTACAGTTGTTTAGCTGGAGTGGTCTTGTGTTTCCAATACTCCGACTGATGAGGAGACCAAGCACACTTGAAAGAACTTGGTTTCCAAGCTTTTTGCTTTGGGTTTCATAGCTGAGATGATTGTGAGACACCCAAGTTTCGTGCCCTTTTCTGGCTATCATCCACATTGGTGAGGACCTTGTCCATGGAGGTACTGAAGAGGCCCTCCCCATCGAGAGCCAGTTGGGTGTCGTGGTTAAGTGCGTGGACTCTAATCTGGAAGAACCGGGTTTGATTCCCCACTCCTCCACTTGCACCTGGCTGGATGACCTTGGGCAAGAGCTGTCCTTGAAAAAGAGCAGTTTCTGTGAAGAGCTCTCTCGGCCCCACCTACCTCACAGGGTGTCTGTTGTGGGGAGGGGAAGGGAAAGGAGTTTGTAAGACGTTCTGAGACACCTTTGGGTAGTGAAGGGCGGGGTATAAATCCAATCTCTTCTTCTTCACCAATCTCTTCTTCATCATCATCGAAAGGTAAATCTTCCACCTTTGACTTTATATCAGGCTGTAAGGTGGTGGAGTGTAACCAGGCATGCCTCCTGAGGGCAATTGAGGTAGCTAGAGCCTCTGACAAGCAGAATACAGCATGTCTGACAGTGTTAATCTGTTGCTTCGGCAGTCTGGACAGCTCGTTGACCAGGGTAGTGGCAGTCTTCCAAATAAGTATGCGTCTTGGCTGCGGTAGTAGTAAAAGAGTATATTTTCTGCCCCAGGGCGTCCAGCTTCTGACCCTCACAATCTGGGGCTTCAGGATGTCGCACTTGCTTGGACTCAGAGGCAGAGTGCACTATGACAGAACTCGGAGCTGGGTAAAAGACACTTTGAATCCGACAGTTGAACTTGATAGAGGGAGTCAAAGCACTCTGAGGCCAGTGGAATAGAAGCAGGTTGATCCCGTGCCTCATGGAGGGCCTCGAGGTGAACTGGGAGCACGGGGAGCAGGGGGACGCTGGCGGGAGGTCTGACTGTACTGACTTGTGCACCAGGTCCGTGACAGTTGGTGTGTCACCGATAAGCTGGAGATTCAAGGCAGTAGCCACACAAGTTACCAGTTCAAGGTAAGCCTGGGATCCTTCCGGTGGTGCGAGTGAACAAGGATGGACAATGTCCGAATCCGGGGAGGTATGTTCATCCACTTCAGAGTCCAAGTCCTCAGTCTTGACGTCTGACAGTTCCGAGACGGTCGTCTGGTGGAATGATGGGTATTGGGGTTGGCTGGGCAACTGTCATACGAGAGGACAACTCAACCGGAGGCCCAGGGGGGCAGTGAGAGTGGATGTCAGAGGAGCCCCACAGGCAATCTGACAATGATAATGATGATGATGATGATAATACTTTCCATTTATTAATCGCTTTCCCCAGTGGGCTCAAAGCGATGTACAGTTACTCCATATATAGACAAGGGACTAACAATGTTCGTAGGGGATAGGGAAGACAACATATATTCACTTTAATTGCACGCGCCGTCACTGCCCCATCCATTGCAGGCATTCTTTTCGTAGCCTGGAAGCTGTTTCGCCTTTACAAGCCTTGACCAAGGACGTCCAACCATCAGCTAACGCCCTCCCACAAGGGAGGATGGCGTGCCCACCCTCTCTAAAGGAGTGGTTCCCATTTTCTCTACTCGCCGAAGCTTTCAAATCGCTGGGTGGACAATGAGCTGGGGACAACAGGCTGGCTGCTCACACCAGTGCGGGGCCTTGAACTAACACAGTTCAGATGTTAAGACAGTGGGATATACCCACTGTGCCATCGCTCCCCAATGATAGGGGCATCCAGAGGGCCCAAAATTAGGGGCCATGGAACCCGAAGGAGAAGAACGATCAAGTCCTCTGACCTATGTGGTGAATGAGGTCATGAATATTAATCTTGACTGTGGCATGAGGAGCGAGGTGGGGATCTGTAATGCTCCTGGTAGGCTTGAGGAAAACGCTCTCGCAGAAAAGGAGAGCGCCATTCCAAGGAGTGTCTGGGATAGGCCTCATAAGGCACAGCATAAGCAGCCAGGGTGTAGTGGAAATGTTGTCTGCTTTGGGATCGAGAAAGGCTCTGAGAGAACCAGCGCGGGGTGATAGGCGCGGCAGGTCGCCAGGCTGTGAAGGAGGCCTGTCCCGGTGGGCGGGGTCGGCTTCGAGAATGTCCGATGGCAAGTAGCTGCAGTCAGAGAGTGATCTGGATGGAATGTGCACCACTGGTGTGAGGGGAGCCACCACAGTAGACAGAGCTGAAGACAGGGTTGTGGCGGGGGTGGAGTCCTGCAGGCCCACAGTTGAAAGCTCTGGAGGCGGCACAGGAGATGAGATGCTTGTCGGGACTGAAGCGGGTGTCAGTACCGATCGGTCCTTCGATTCTTCTTTGGTTTCGGCGTGTCTGGAGACGAAACTGAGAGTTCCCTTGGACTGACTGTCAGCCTTACGCTTCGTTGCCGTCGACCCTGTTTGGTAAAATTGCTGCAATGGATGCAGGAATCAGGTTTGTGAGCCTCGCTCAGGCAAAAAGCCACAGGGAATGTCTGTTGGTAGTTGGGATTTTCCCTTCACAATTTCAACAACATTTAAAGCGAGTCTTCCCTTCCATACGCCACACCAAGGGCCAGGGATGAAGGGAGGGACAGTCGATGACAAAAAAACCTCTTTTTTTACGGAAAGTCACAGCAGGAGACGAAGCTGAAGACCAGGAGAAAGGAGGAGGAGGCTTCTGAGGCAGCTCAGAAGGGTAGGAACGCAGCGAGGGGGGGTCTGAGCAGCGTGGCCGTCGAGAAGAAACTGAGTGGGAGGGCACGTGCCACCAATGCCTGCTCCCCCGAGCACAGGAAGAAAACGCGCCAGAAGCCAGAGGGCGGGCCGGCTCTCGCAGTTCTCCGGGGTCGGGTTTGAGCGCAGGTGTGGGACTGCACAGAGACCGTGAAAAAGATCACACAAGTTCCTTATGGATGCCTCTTAATCAGTGCGTGTCTTTTTGGCTTTCTCTGTTACCCCTTAAAATACCAGGAATTCAATAGCAGAATGAGTTCCGGATCACCTTCCCCAAGGCTCATCCCAGGATTACTATCCCTAACACCAATCACACCCTATCTGGGATATTAAGCGACATACGTCTGGGGAAACTGGATCTTGAACCTGGTCCAAGCCTGAACCTGATGCAAAATTGTCCAAACAGTGTCAAGAAACAGGTTTTCTCCAAAACAAGCCTTAGTAAAAGCTATCCCCTTGTGCACACACAGCCTCCCCCAAAGCTTCCTTTTAGGACCCCCTGACTGATCACATGGAGACGTAATAGATGTACAGGGGACAGACGTACAGGGAATATAACCTCTATAGGGAGTGTGACCACATAGCAAGAACATTTAAATGCATGGGGTGGGTATGTGATTTTTGACAGTCCAGGTTAGATTTCAGGAAGTTAACCCATATAGCCTTATGGATTCATGAAACCCTGGATGCCAACACTTCTCACCCATCTTCATGTCTCTCGGTTCCCCTGAATCCCAACCTGACTTAACCTGCTTGCATGAGTACTTCAGCCATCAAAACTCAGACCCAACACTGAGGCAAATGAGATTTTCCCCTCTGGAAGGCAGCATGCTTCACGCCTCCCTGCAAATTGTAATGCCCTGTATGTATGTTGACTGACTTCACTCCTCCTAAGAGCCATAAACCAAAATGCTTTATTGCGGCACATTCATGCTTCCTCTCTCTTTCTCCGAAGCCTGGTGTGTCCACCCCCAACTGCTCTCAGCTGCTCGAAGTTCTGACTTTTCCAAAGCCAATATTCTGAGATTCCCCACCCAGAGTTGCTGCAAACAGAATAAGCTTCGCCCAGGTCAGATACAGAACAAACACCAAGACCCGAAGGCCCAAGACAGACAGGAACTGCGTCGTGAAATTTCCGCCAGCATTTTCCAAATGAAATTTTTCTCGCCAAGGCCTGTAAACCTCTGGGCCTATAGATCTGGCTCCACAGATCATCACAGGCAGGTGGAATCCATAAGCCGGCCTTGGGAGTGGGGTGGGGTCAGCGGACAGGCACAAAGGGCTGCATGCCAGGAAGCTCCGCTCAGAGGTGAGAAACCCAAGGGGAAGAAGGTGAGCCTCCCGGGGGAAAGGGAAGGAGGACAGAGGTAGTGAGGGTGTATCTGCTTCCCCAAAAGACTCATAGTCACTCTGGGAGAAGTAGGCAAAAAGCCATCTTACCTGGGGACTCGGTTGTGTTTCTTAAAGAGCTGCAGCATGCTCCTAGGCAGAGAGGAAAGAGGTTACGATTTGACCATTGCCATTTGACAACAGGGCTGTTCTTCGTTGTATTTTATTCTATTTTGTGTCATTTCTCACTTGGACTCAAGGCGGATTACCCTGGGTGAGCCAAAACATGCCGTTCTGCACCAAATGGAGTTTCCAAAACGAGTTCACAGGAAGACCAGTGTACAGTGCATTACAACAGTCTAGTTTAGATATCACCATAGCATGGATCCATGTGGCCAGATCAGCCAGATCAAGGTAAGGGTTTAAAACATTTATCCCCAACCCAACATTTGTCAAGAGTGCCTGTTCGCACAGAAGGAAGGATACCCCTGATTCTAAAGGAAGAAAAGGGAAAGTCTTACAGTAAATCCCTACTGTCTGGAGCAGCAGGAGGACATTTTTGGTCCTCACAGGTGAAGTGCTCCCCCCCCCCACTAGGTGGGGTGTGTGTGTGTCCTACTTACAAGACCAGACTGGAAGAGGCAGAAATCCAATGTCTAGAGCAGTCAGAGGGAAAAGAACAGCCGCATGGCTGAGTGATCAAAACAGACCCCTGGTCAACGTTCCAATTTCACTGTGTGTTTCCATGTCATCCAGAAGGACAAGATAATCCCTTCCGATCAGAAAGTGGCAGACAGAGGGCCACCCACCTCTTCAGCAAGCGTTCACACCACAAATCCCAACCCCTTTAGTGGCAGGGGGCACCCTTGACCCTTTGGGACACTGAAATGAAGCGTCCACCAGACGGAGAGACAGGCCTGACCGAATCAGGAGGCCATGGAGAGTTCTACAAAAGCCCATCTTCTGGCAAGATGGAACAATTGTGTGGAGCCAAGGACACGGGTGTGTCAATGTCCATACAGCTGCACATCCCATCCCCTATAGATACGACACCTGCTCTGAGCCAAAAGCCTGAGAAGCAATGCAGAGGAGGAGGATTCTCCCCTCAGGGAATGAGCCATAAGCCCTGGCAGTGGCATTCCCTCCATGGTTCAACAGTTCAGTTCTGTGCAGTCCCTGAGCCTCCAGCACAAGGGAGACTGAGAGACCTGCTGACCCAAGGAGGCCTCCTTTTAGGGAAGGGTAACAACAAAGCGGCAGGGCGGATGCGGACATCACCATCTTCAAGTACTTGAAGGGCTGCCCTATGGAGGATGGGGTGGAGTTGTTTTCTGTGGCCCCAGAAGGTCGGACCAGAACCAACGGGCTGAAATTAAATCAGAAGAGTTTTCGGCTAAACATGAGGAAGAACTTCCTGACAGTTCGAGCGGTTCCTCAGGGGGACAGGCTTCCTCGGGAGGTGGTGGGCTCTCCTCCTTGGGAGGCTTTCAAACAGAGGCTCGGTGGCCACCTGACAGCAATGTGGATTCTGTGAACTTTTAGGCAGATCATGAGAGGGAGGGCAGGAAGGGTCGCCTCAGTTCTTGTGGCCCTTTCTTACACGCCCAGGGAATCACCACTCTGGGGTCAGGAAACAATTTTTCTCCAGGCCTGTTTGGCCAGGGATCCCGGAGGGTTTTTTTTTTTTTTGCCATCTTCTGGGCATGGAACAGTGGTCACTGGGTGTGGGGTGGGGGGGGGAAGTATTTGTGAATTCCCTGCATTGTGCAGGGGGCTGGATTAGATGACCCTGGAGATCCCTTCCAAGTCTATGATTCTATCACCATCTGGAGCCTTGTTGAACTTGATGTAAACTCACTGATGCCCCTGGCACTGAGAATGTGCCACAGACCTAGGTCTGTCTCTGGGAAAGTGAAATCTCTGGAGTGATACCTTGGGCCCCTACGGGAGCCAGGCACTGCTAAAGATTCTGGTGAAAGGAAGAGACTTTAATCACAATTAGGACCCAGTGGTCTGATATTATTGCCTTCAAGAAGAGGAAGAAGAAGAAGAAGGAGGAGGAGATGATGATGGTGACTGGATTTATCCCCCGCCCTTCATGACCCGAAGGAGTCTCAGAGTGGCTGACAACCTCCTTTCCCTTCCCCTCCCCACAACAGACACCCTGTGAGGGAGGTGGGGCTGAGAGAGCTCTGACAGAAACGGCTCTTTTTCAAGGACAGCTCTTATCAGAACTATGGCTTGCACAAGGCCATCCAGCCAGGTGCAAGTGGAGGAGTGTGGAATCAAACCTGGTTGTCCCAGATTAGAGTCCATGCACTTAACCACGACACCAAACTGGCTCCCAAGACTGGAGATGGAGACAGAATGTGATAGGTCAATATTTCCTTCACTGCTTCTAGCCAAACTCTTTAAATTAACTAAGGCTGATTAACAAATGATCATGGCTGCCCTCCAATGTTCTCTGTTTCTGGCTGTCCTACTGCTGAAAGCTACTCTTTAGATATAATCTCCATAAGATCTTTTTTACCCTTAAAACAACTTTTTTGTCTTGATTTTAAACTGCATGTATCAACCAAGGATCAAAGAAATAAAGTCAATATGGCCTAATCCAAAAAGACCCTGATTAGGAATTAGAACACGGTGAGGGTCTTAGTGTGTTCAATCAAGTTTTGTCATTTTGACGGCCCTAATAGGGACCGGACTGGTCTCTGTGTAAAGGGCTCCTAATTAGGAGTTGCCAAGAGACCAGGGAGGAGGGAGGAGCCCTGCCCGCTGAATGCAGGGAGCTGTCCAGATGGGGTAATCTATGCAGATAGGCAATGTGAGGAACTTCAGAGCATGCTTTTGCTGTTGGACGGAAGCAAGTGAGATTTCTCTAATAACAATATTTAGCGTTTATAATAGGACTTTCGCTGCTCCAAATTTGCCATATAATTGCTGTCATAATCCTTACAACAGCTCTGCAAAGTCGGCCAGCATTATTCACTTCAATAAGCAAACTATTGGTAGAAACTCAGCCTTACTTACCAGGCTTTTTGTGTTCTCCCAGCCCGGGCAAACAGAAGAACACAGTTGCCCAGAGAAGTGGCCGTCCATTCTAGTGGGACGCGGCTTCTTTCCTGTACTTCATGTACGTCCGCAGCACAATCAGCAAAAGCCACCTGAGTCTGAAAAGATTTGATAACTCTAAAAATGTATAGTCAACAGTAGACAAGCCAATCTACAGGGCCTTTCCATATTGTAGAGATAAAACCAACGTCATCTTAGGGGAGGGGCCGTGGCTCAGTGACAGAGCATCTGAGCAGCACGCAGAAGGTCCCAGGTTCAATCTTTGGCATCTCCAGTAAAAAGGACCAGGCAGTGGCAGGGCCGGCTCTTTCACTAGGCCAGCTAGGGCGACGGCCTGGGGCACAGCTCTCCCAGGGGCGCAGCGAGCCCCGCCTGCCCGCCCCCAGCATGGCTTTCTGGGCGCCCGCTCCACAGCATGCTCCTTCCCACCGGCTCACTTCCCCTCGCGCCCCCCGAGTCGGTCGATGGTGCGGACTCCCTCGGTGTTGTCCACTGGGAGCCCAGGTGAGAAAGGCAAGCGAGAAATGGCATCACGCCATAAAATGAAAACCAATCTTGTGCTTTGTGGGCGGCCTCATTTAGGCGCCTCCCTGCTGCCGAAGGACTTGGGGCTGGACCGCCAGGCGCCTTCTCTGGGCTGGAGCCTGGAAGACAGGCTGGTGGGGGTGCGTGTCATCCCCTCAGATGACTATGGCTCCGCCCCCAGTGTGCCCGGCGTGGTCGCGTCACTTCCGGGTGACGCGCACGTCGGGGTGGGGTTCCCTCCCGGGGCCCGATCTGCCGCCAGTGGGGAACGGGCCTCTGGGGCGGGGGTTTCCCCGCCCCCCGGGGGGACTTGGCAAGCCTAGCCGCCACCCAACTTCTTGTTCTAAGTCCTTTTTGGATTACTGCGTTCCCAAGAGTGCTGCCGTGCCCGTCCTGCTCAAACAGCAGTCCAAGGGGATAGGCCCCTCCCTCAGCTGGATCAATCATTGAGGCCGGCCCTGCATCAGGAAGAGCCAATCTTCTCCAGCGTGGGGACTGGCCCACTCGAGAAAGGAGACCAGATGCGGGTAGGCCAGAGGGATTATCAGCACAAATCACCAAGGAGCAAGGTGAGAGAAGGGTTGGGGAAGAAGGTGATGCAGGCACTGAGGTCGCAGAGTGTTTGCTCGTCTTTAATTTTGCTCCACTTTTTATGCTATGAAATGGATCAGGCTGAGAGATGGTGACTTGCCCAAGATGACTCAAACCGCTTCATGGCTCAGCATGTATTTGAATCCAGGTCTCTCTGATCCAAGGAAACACTGCCTCTAATGCACCATACTAGCCTCTGGAGAGAGGCGTGACAAACTGACCTACAAAACCAAGATGCTCAGTGCATCCAAAGCAGAGAGCAGGGAGATAAGGGGTTAAAGCGCTTTGATTGACAGGCTGCTGCCTGCGTGCACCCCCTTCTCTCTGATTGGTCAGGGCCAGCTGAGGAGAGCTTTAAAAAGTCTGGTCAGTCTGGTCAGAGGGAGTCAGTCGCCTTTTGGACTTTGGCTTGGCAGTTGCCAGTCAGGACAGGGGTGTGTGTGTGTGTCAGTCTGAGGGAAACAGACACATCCTTTGAGAAGTGAAGGGACACAGCTCCTTGTCCTTACCGCGTACCCTCACCTTTGACGAAAAGTGCAGAAATCAGAACTTAAAAGCCTAAGCGTCAGCCCTAGCTGAATGCCGTTTATGCACAGTCTCCAGAACTGGGGCCGAGGTTTGACAGAAGAGGCTGGACAGGAGGCTGGAAAATGCCAGTCTAGCCAAACAGAAAAGGATTCTCGCTCCTAGGAAGAGGAGGATATTCCTTACCCAGTTACTCAGAGGGCCCCTGGTTTGTGTGGAAAGGGAAAGAAATCTCCAAGACAAAAAACCCTCTCTCATACTTAAGAACCGAGTCTCTAAGAATATAAGCTTCAATTTATACTGTTGCCCCTTCAAAATATTCTAATTTGTATAACCAACAATGGTTACTCAACTTCTCGTTCCCTGCCCTATTCCTGATTCAGTTGCACCTGTTCAATAAAAGCAACCTTTCTGTTTGAACTTTACTTCAAGTGCCGTTTCCAAAAGGGACTTATAATAAGAGGGCTCCTGCTGAGTGACCGTAAATCCCTGGCCTGGGCAAAAGCCAAATAACGTCTCTATCACAGGGTGGGACATGCAAAAAGTTATAATTCCAGGGCTATTTTTGGGCAGGAACGCACAGGAACAGAGTTTCGGCTGGCTCCTGAGTTGGCCACGCCCAGCAGGAACTCATTAGCATAATAGGCCACACCTAACAGCAGAAACTCATTAGGATTGGCTACATTAGGGGTGTGTGGTCTAACATGTAAAGACGTTC